TAGGATACATTATACATACATTTATATAGACGAAACCGCAGAAGACAACCAGTATTATGAAATGTGTAAATGAGTTTGTTTATTCCTCTTTACGTTTTAACGGCTCAAAAAATCGTCGTAAAGTTTTATATACACTTAGATACTTAACCATGGGACGGAGAAGGGCATAGCATATTTATCCAGGTCAATCGATATATCCCGGTCACGCAGATGAATTCGCAGCTAAAGTCTAGTTTAGAAATAAAAGAATAAAACTGTAAAAATTTTATTATATAGTGTGAAATCCATACAATCAACACAATATAAGTCGTACCTGAGGTAATTATTTATAATTTTTTTTTAATGGATGATAGCATAATAGTATTTCCATCAGTGCCAACGGTATACGCTAACGGACACCAGTGAGGGATGATAGGTCAGAATGAAAAGGCAGGTCAGTTAACCCATCGTGAGAAATACTCCTAGAATTCAACACAATTGTTTCCAGAGGGGACCACGTGGAGGTCTAATTACCAGGTTATATTTTTTTTATACAACTTAAAATGGCAAACAAGCTGACGGTCCACCTGATGGAAAGTTATAACCGTCGCCTATAGACATGTACTGCTCATGCACTGTTTCGCCCATGATACCCCCCATGCGTTGCCATTCCTGAGGACTCAGGTGTTATTCCTCTGTACCCAGTAAATTCACGCCATATTCCACCCTTCAAACCGAAACACAGCCATGCAAACACAACTGCTGCACGGTTGAAACACGAATGGGACAGAGGTACCCAAGCAATCGACTTTTGTACAAAGTCTCCCTCTGGTTGCTAGCAATAGGACAGGTAGTCCATATGACTATCAGTCCCTCCCCCACCCCCTCCCCATTTATTTCATTTACAAAAGTTACCAGCACCAGTTACAAAAATGTGGAATACAGTAAATCAAATTAGATAATGTGATTACAAAAAGCGACCATATCGCACAGCAATCACTTCCAGACAACCTACTCAGGTATGTAAGTACATAAATGCACTACGAATTTTCTCCGCGCCATATACTCTGAAATCCCTTGTGGAAATATCAACTGTTTGGCCATACAGCTCCGGTGGCCGCTCACCATCTGTCGAACCATTATATTTGATTGCAAATGGTATATATAAAATTACTTCTCTTATGCAACATAGAATGGCAAACAAACTGACGGCCCACCTGATGAAAAATGTTATCTATTCGTATAAACACAAACTATGAATATTGGACGTTGGCATTTCTAAGGGCGTGGAATTATATTTAATTCGGGTACGAAAGCATAACACCATATATTATGCTCCTGTACCCCATCACTTCACTGCCGTATCCCATCCGTCAAACCGTAACACAGCCATATATGTAATGCAATGCCTTAGATTATATAAATAGAATGTCTCCATAGAAATGCTTCAAGAAAAACAGGTCAATTTTTTCACACAAATTTGCATGATAAATAGTTATGAGTGATTCCTTTATAACTTCTATTTTTATTTTGTCTTATATTCTCCGCATCTTTTTAATGCGTAAACACTCGTCTTATTTAATAAATAATACATCAAGATACATTTTATGCGTAATTATATAGAATACTGATAAAAAAATTAGTCAGCTAATTTGACAATTAGCTGACTAAAAGTTCGCCTGTTTTTAAGGATCGATGGGCTATCTATATAATCTAAGTACAATTCATGTAAATTAAATATATCTATCTGGGGGGGAGAAGGGATTGTTAGTAATGGGGATTAGTAGCTCCATTGCTAGCAATATACTCTGTCAGGTCGACCTCCTCGTGGTTCCCCCTGGAAACAATCGTGATTGATTTATTGTTAGATTCGTCACGGTGGGCTAACTGACCTGCTTTATCTTCGCCTATCATCTCTCACTGGTGCCCCGCCGGTGTATACCGATAGCACAGGCGGGGTTACCATTCCATTATCATCCATTGAAAAAAAAATATCTATCTGCTGTCCTAAAGTCCTAAATTAACTGCTAATAATTTATTATCAAATGCTTCCAAAACTAAGTGTATTAAATTTATACTTCCTAATCTAAAGCAGGTAGATTCCCATGTAATTTTGGAGAATAAACCGTTAAATTTTGTTAACAATACCGTATTTTTAGCTTTCACAATAGATTACAGAGAACATAATACAACGTTGCAATCGGCTGCCCATATTTCTAAATTAGCTAGTAGGCTTAGCTCAGCTGCATTTGCAGTTAGACGAACTAGGCAATTAACGGATGTAGCAACTGTTAAACTTGTTTATTTTAGCTATTTCCATAGCATTATGTTATATGGAATACTGTTGTGAAGTAAAACAGCTGATATAAATACAATATTTCTTTTACAATAGAGGACCATTCGTTCTATTTACGGTTAGAATTCAAAGGAGTCAATACGAGAACGTTTTAAAGATTCAAATATCCTCACATTTGCTTCCCAATACATTTACGAGAATATTATGTATGCTAGAAAAAATATTACGATTTTTAAAGAAGTTAGCGATTCTACTAGTAAAATCTTATGCAATAATTAAAAATTTTACAAAAATTACATTTAACTAAGGTTAGTTATTCTGTCTGTGGGAAATAACAATATATAGGAAAAAAATCTACTGTTCTTATATTTTTCTTTTTCAATTGCTGACAATAATGTCATTTTATCACAATTATTAAATTTAGATTGTGTAGCGGTTTTATGTTATTAACCTATACCTTTCACTGTGTAATGTGTGGGTACTGTAACTATTATATAGCATAAGATTATTATAAATTGGCTATGACGTAGTTGGGGCTTTGAGTAAGTCATGCTTACTAAAATGTCCAAAGAGGTGGCGACGTGGTGGGCCGGGTTATTGAGTTCCCTAAAATATGGTCGACCGCAATGATGGCTTTTCGCATGCGTCATACTCATGAACGAGTGCTACCTGTAGAGACTGGTCTGCTCTAGTCACTGTAACTTAGTTATTTTATTGGTTTGTTTTGTGTACTACATATATTTTAAATTTTATGATCTGATACTGCTTAATAGTTTGTATTCACACAAATTCATTATTTATTTAATTAAAATTCTTGAAAAAATCAACAGCCGAATTTTTTGACTGTTCTTCTTGGCTGAAATTGCGTTCCGAATGGGCGGTAATGAAAAATTACTATTCAAAAATGCTTAAATCTAAGTTTACTTAAGTAAAAAATATTTCTTTCTTTCTATACTCTTCTTCTTTCTTCTTTCTGTTTCTATACTTTTTAGATACATATTTTAGCAGAAGTTATAGGATCTACTTTATTGTACTCGTATCTACCTACGTATATGCGAATCTCGATATGCAAGTTTCAGAATTTCTAATAAGTTTATACAAGTAAGCACATTATCTCTACAAGAGTAGTAACTGGAGCTAACAAAGGAAAAGAAATAAGAAAGTTCTTACGAGGAATTCGTAAAAATGCCACGGCAATAAGAACTTACTAACTAAAGAATTTCATTTCACGCACAAAAGGTACTTTACGAGAAAAAAAATTATACAAAAAGATATGTAAATAAAAGTCGTGTAACAGTAGGTAAGTGCCTGTGGCTTTCTTTCCAAACTTCATTTCCGGAACATTGGCGCGGTTTGAAATTTTTTCGCGTGGTCCATATTTCTATTCGCGCCCTTTTTCACAGTGCGCAACGCCTCAATAGTAGGATTGATTCTGAAGTGTCATTTCTTTTAACATACTTCTAAATTTGAAATTTTATTTTGATATTACAACGGAGTCTTTTATATTCTAACTAAATTTGTAATTTAAGACAGATTTAAATCAAAACTGTTATTTAAAATTCGAAATAGACTGTCGTTGCATCGCACTACCCTTGTAATTTTTTAAAACGATTGTTTAGACAGTTTACAAAATAATAAAAACACTAGACGACCTGATTAAAACTGGTAACTATCTGATGAAAAATATTGTCATCCAGAATATACTGTGATAACCATAATATCACTTATGTTTAGTACATAGTACGAGGGGGATAATGAATTATTAAAAATGGGGATTAGTAGCCCCATTATTAGCAATACACCCTGTCAGGTCGACCTCCTCGCGGTTCCCCCTAGAAACTATTGTATTCTATTTCAAGTGAATATATCACGATAGGCTAACTGACCTGCTTTTTCATCCTCATCTATCATCCCTCACTGGTGCCCCGCCAGTGTACACCGTTAGCGCAGGCGGGGTTACCATTCCATCATCACCCATTAAAGTACATAATACGAAGTCTGAATATGGTGCTATCACTGAGAACTAAGGGGTTCTACACGCGTACCCGGTAATTTAAAGGTTGGTTAAAAAGACCAACTTTTTCAACAAACAAAAAGAAGGAAGTCTAACTTCGATTGTATTTTTTATGTTTATTACCTCATAACTCCGTCAGTTATTAACTGATTTGGAAAATTATTTTTTACAGATTGGTGCCATAAAAATGTTATCAAAATTAGTTAATTAATTTAGTTTTCAAATAATTTTTTTTTGTTTTGCCAGAATTGAGGTTGGTTTTTTTGTAAAACACAATTTTTTATATAAAAATATTTACATTAGTAAATTTGTTTTAATATTTTGTTTTTTTTTTTTTATGCAACTTAGAATGGCAAACAAGCTGACGGCTCACCTGATGGAAAGTGGTAACCATAGCCAATAGACATGAGCAGTAGTACCATCGACATAACAGAGTAACTGTTTCGCCCATGATACCCCCCCCCCCCATGTTGCCATTCCTAAGGTTACCATACCATTTTCACCCATAAAAAAAAAGACGGGCATCAAGATAATTTCTAATGGAACCGCGAGGAGGTCGATCTGACAGGGTGTATTGCTATCAATGGTACTATTAATTCCCATTACCAATCCTTTCTCGCCCTACGATAACGGTATACACTGGCGGGGCAACCTTATTTATTACTGACAGTACGGCAATGTCTTTTTACTTGTGTTTTAATAAAACAACGATTTAATTAAATCATTATAATTCTCCACAATTACTAATTATCACTTTCGACGACACTGTCCCGCTTTTACTACCATATCTCTCCATTTTTTTTAAAACGTCCAATCCCGACATAACGTGACCGAATACTACATGTTTATCATCGAGCCAGTCAGTTCTGAAACAGAAATAACAGAAATTAATGAACTTAATGAACAGCATGGGGTTCTTCAAAAGGGGGGTAAAGAGGTTTCTTCAGGGTCGGCAACGCGCGCGTAATACCTCTGGTATTGCAGGCGTTCATAGGCTACGGTAACCGCTTACCATCAGGTGGGCCGTATGCTTGTTTGCCACCTCAGTGGTATAAAAAAAAACTCCTTAGATGGTCAACTGTCATGAGTCAAAGAAAACCGACCTCAAGCATCCCTTTAAGGGAGTATTCTACAACTGAATATTTGCCCCTTTGGAATATGGGTTGGAAAAATTTTTCACTCTCATTATTTTACTTTTTATTTTGAACCATCATCATTTATCATTAGTATAAAGTAAATACATACTTAGCTGTACACAGGAAAAACTGAGATCCATTTGTATTTGGTCCAGAATTAGCCATACTTAATATACCAGGCCCAGTGTGCTTCAATTTGAAATTCTCATCTTCAAATTTCCGTCCATATATTGATTTCCCTCCAGTACCATTGTGGTTTGTAAAGTCACCTCCTTGACACATCTGAACGGTTTTATAAGGATATGTTATTTTATACTTTCTTCCCACGCAAAGGTTAAATTTTCAAATGAAATGTGTGAATGAATATTCCTAACATAAGGAAAAACCCAGTTATACAAACATCAACTTTTTGCAATTTGGAATGGCTTGTTTAACATATTGAATTAAAAAAAAAATATAATGATTTTCAATCACTGCAAAATTTTTGTTCTACTTTATAAATACAATAATATTTATTTATAGGAACACCAACAGCATATTGCATTATAACATATATAACAAACATATTAGAAAGTATCATTGAGGACATTAAAAGGATACAAAATCAGGAATGATCCTATGAAAGCTGCTGCCCTGGTACCCGAATCCTTTCTCGTGTGTACACAGTGCTCTGAAATTTTCTGCAGTCTTGGGCACTATATCTGCTCGAAGCATCATGATTATCCTGCCAATCTCTTGCTTGCCCACACTGATGTCAAAGTAGACTTGTGGGTTCCTTTTCTCTTTCGGTGCTGTTATTATTTCCTAGAAACATAGCCATATTAGTTACCTCCTATTACTTTATTTATTTCTATAGAATTTAGATTAAACTATCTTATATATGTATGTTATATTTCCCAGCTTATATTATATAAAAATGCTTTTAGTAAATATCCTTACTTCATTAATAATAGTGCTAGTTGATACAGAATCACCTACATGTTTTTTTATGCAACTTAGAATGACAAACAAACTTATGACCCACCTGATGGAAAGTGGTAAACATCGCCTATAGACATAAGCAGTACCATGGACATAACAGCGTATACTGTTTCGCCCATGTATTGCCATTCCAGAGGACTAAGGTGTTATTCCTCTGTGCCCTGTAATTTCACTGCCATATCCCACCCTTCAAACCAAAACACAGCCATGCAAACACAACTGCTTCATAGTAGAAACATGAATGGGACAGAGGTGCCCAAGCAAACAACTTTCGTACAAAGTCTCCCTCTGGTAATAATAATAAACCTACATAAATTATTATAATTTCTCATTATTTCTAGATGCCTACATCATAAAAGTAGTAAAAATTTTGTGTAAAAATTTTTTCTGTGAAAAATGGTGGGAGTGACAGATTCTTACTATAAAAACTATATTGAGATTTTTGAAAATGAAGTCAATCATAATGCAACATTTTATTGAGTCCTTAAGCAATGGTTTAATAATAGCAATGTTGTCTATAGTTTTATTGACCTAGCCCTTCTTAAACTATATGGGCTATAATATGCAAAAGAAATGTGTATGTATTAATAAATTAAATTAATAATTTATTAATAATATTACATTCTTACATTTTCAACTTCCATACTAGTCTCCTTGTTACCACCATCTTCTCCGTCTTTCTCTTTTGCAATAGGCAGTGTTTCACCAGCATGCTTCTGTAACCAGGCATCATCAGACCACACAGGTCTGGTGGACCCCTCTTTGATGCGTTGTGGAGCAGCAATATTTACCCTTATAGTACGACCAAAGAGTTCAGAATCATTCTGAAATTTTAAAAACATTTATTTAAAGATTTTTATACATAAACCAACTATGTCCTATGGCATCTTATACTTCAATCTAAGATATGACCTATAAATGTATATAAATATCAAGTTTGATTTAAATCTATTAAACCATTGAAATGTAATTGAGTAACAAATATTTAAATATTCAAGTACATACTCCTACATACTCCTCTTATAAGAGAACTATGCAGAGAAATAATAAAGGGTTAATGTGATAATTATAATTGTTTTTTTTTTACATGCAATATGGAATGACAGATTACCTGATGGCCCACATAATTGAAAATGATAACCGCTGCCCAAAGGCAAAAACAGGGCCATATCCATAATACCCTTCATATATGGCCATTCCTGAGGATTATGCCATTCTACTTATAATATCATATGAAATAGAATGGCATAATATCAATGCCATTCTACTTGATTTCAGACTCTTCCAACTGAAACGGCCATACACAGGTACTAGGGAGGGATTGTTAGTAATGAGGCAATTAGCAACCCCATTGCTAGCAATATACCTTAACCTCCTCTTGGTACCCCTTGTTGTGTAACCATTGTGGCGAACTAACCTCCTTTGTCCTATCTATCATCCTACACTGGCGCCTCACTAGTGTATACCGATAGCACATGCGGTGTTATCATTCCATTATCATTCATTAACAAAAAAAAACTACAAGGCAAAAGAAGCATGAGTTTTTGAAATAAAACTAATATAAATTATAATGACTAACCATGTTATCAATAGCAGCAGCCGCGTCTTCCGCATTCTCGAATTCAATAAAAGCAAAGCCTCTGTGCTTTTCTGTCTCATAATCAAGCGGTATTTGAACATCAACGAGATCCCCAAAAGGTACAAATGCCGCATTCAAAACTTTTTCATCGACCTCTTCTGCTAAGCCACCGACGTAGATAGTTCTTTTTGAATTCGGTTTACTGCTCATTGTAACTAGAGTATTATTTTCTAGAGTATACAAAAAAAGTTATATCGTATACGGATACCGGCTTTATGGTTTACTTTGCGAAACGTAAACACATAATCATAAATCACTGGTTAGGTATTTAACCTCAATGAATGCAATATTATAGCTCTATATATGTAAATTATATTATTGATTTAAGTAAAAATAAAAAATTCAGGGTAAATTACAGTTCAATTACAATAGGCACGTAGATAAGTAACTAAAATTTATTATAAAATAAAACCAAAAAGTTACAGAAATCTTCAACTATTATTAACATGACACTAATTACCAATACTGACACTGACAATCTGACACTGACACTGAGCTCACTGACACTGAAAAAAAAACAAACCGGCATTACTACAAGTAAAAAAGTTCTTATAAATCTATGCAACAAATCCATTAAATTTGAAAACTTTACTTCATAAAGTAGCTATAAATTTATAATACTTATTGGTATTTATGTATATTTTGAATAAAAGAGGGTTGTAGTAGTTATAAAATACCTTATATTTTATTTATTTATTTAATAGCACCGATAGTTCTAAGTGATTGTATAGATACATAATAAGAGCAGTCTCGACTCTTGTCGTAGTGGGCCGAGGCGTAGCCGAGGGACACATACGTGAGTCCATCAATGCCTAATTGTGGCCAAGGCTTGTATAGTACATTTCTCAAACAATGCGCGGAAATCAAAAACACAATTTTACTTTTTAAGTTCAATGACGAATAACGAACAATAATAATCTTTCACGCACTATAACGCTCCATTGTTTTTTTTTTCAATAAACAGCTATTTGCAAGCCACTTCAAAATTTAAATAAAATTTTTTTTAGTTACCTCCTTGGTAGCCATGTTTCGAAGTAAAAGGTCATTCCATTTTTAAATTACAAGACAGATATGAGTTTACATAGTAATTTATCTGGCCGCAAAACACGACAGAAATGGATTTTCATACAACTTTTGCCGGCCGCTGCCCGCATTATCTGGCCAGTACGGCAATTTTGATTTATCTCTAAGAAGATTGTCGAAATAATGCTCACATTTCCAAGCATGTTTGAGAAAAACATATATATTATATATGTTATAAATACAACAAGCAACACGCTGTAAAATATGCATTCGATCTATTCTATTCCGAAATGGCTCGTTATTTTAACAGATAGGTCAGGTATCTGGTAAAGATATAATTTTTATCTAAATGTCAAATAGTTTTTTTCCGAATCACAAAAAATTATAAAATAAAAATAAAATATACTGGCAGTTCGGACCCTTTCACTTGACTACCTGCCCTCTGTTTTACTACCTTTATTGATATATTTTATTGTGCTTATAAACTATTATACCGTTTGTCAAATTTCTCCATGCTCATTTGACATTTTTTCAAATTTATTTTTCTTAAATTTCGCGAATAGAAATTTCATAGTGATTTGATGCCCTAACTATTAATGCGCTATAAGGTAACAAATAAACTCATTTTAACATTTATAATATTAGTAAGGATTATAGCCATTATTAATTTATTTACAATTTCACACAGACTTTATTTAAAAATTATTTAAAAGAGTTTAGCAAAATAAAAAACTAATTTCATTGTACACTTTATTATTTAATTATAAATATTTAAGTACATCAACATTCTCATCATTTGAGTCATGTCTGAAATGCGTTGGTAAATGAAAGTGTTAAGTATGAATGATGAAGACATACTGCACTGAACCTAAATAAATGGGATAAGGCAAAACAATGACGACTGCTTTGAAAAATTGAATCAGAACTGCTTTACATAAAACTATCGATGGCCCATGCCATAATAATTTTGGTAAAGTATCATATTAATATTATAATTTTATAACCTCATTGCATACAATTTCTAATGACTTCAGTCATTAAAAATTAAATAGATACCATGTAAGATTTATCTGCCAGTCACAGATGCAATTTATCAAAATTCATACATTAATAAACTTGATTTGATGTAAAACTAACAAAACTGGGTCCATTTTTTTCATCGGAATAAATTATCCTATCCAATCTCTCAAATTAAATAAAAAATGCACATTTACAAAATTTCATGAAAATTAATAATTTTAGAAATTAGCATTAATGAAGTGGGAATTTTATGTAAGATCTGTCTTTAGATAAATGTTTTAGGCTCTAAAAATATTTTCAGACATTGCCAACTTCATAAACAATAACAAAGATGTGGTCTTAAACAAGGCCTCAAATAATATATATAATATATAATAAAAACACCCAAATGTTTGCAGAGACAGATAAAAAAAAATATTATTGAAATATGAAAATCATAATGGGTGAATGATCTTCGAGCGAGGAATGCACGTCGACGTGACTCACCACAGTTGGCTAAACAATAGGTGCAGTGACAAATCTACAAAACAATATGACTTCCCTCAGGGTGTGTATCCATATTGTGAATTTTGACATTTCTTACCACATACAACTGAACATAATCTGTACTACGTATGTATATATCGATTTTATCGCCTTAGAGAGTAATATGCAAGACGCGGTTAAAAATGCACATTGCATATTAACCCTTAATATACATATTTTGTGGACAATTCATTGTAGTCATAAATATTCCAAAGACAAATATGACAGACCTCAGAGTAATTAATCAAATTTAAAATAAACCAATCACAGACTATGTTTGATAATTTACTTTCACTTCTTTCCTTTGCGATTGTTATCCTTACAAATGTTATTTGTACTGTTGGTTTCCATCATTGGCCAAGTGCGGTGTTTGCTACGAATATGGATGCCGACGTTACCTTTAATAGCAAACCTAGCGTCACAGATGTGACATTTGTATGGCTTCTCACCGGTGTGTATCTGAAATAATCAACCAGATCATGAGAACAACTTTCTAAGTTCACCATTTTGTACATTGCAAAATAAAATATAAAAACTATGTAAAAAATGAAGGATGATATTTATCGTTACAATTACTATTATTATTTCAGCCGTTAACTGTCCAGTGCTGAACATAAACCTTCCCCATAAAGGGAGTTTTGTCAGTAGTTGCCACGCTTGGCAGGCGGGTTGGCAACCGCAGTAAGGCTTCCACATATCTTTTAAAAGGGACGCTGCTGCCCATCCCTCCACCATAAGCTCGCTTAGTCACCTCTTACCACACCTACGGGAAAGGAAGGGAAGGTCCATTTTATACCGGAACCTATACGGCGATCGTTACAATATATTAATGAAAAGAGGAATGGCAAATAAATTATTCATTTGAAAAAACATCAACTCGGTTTCTTGCCTGTTCTACTAAGCTGAAATTGCATTCTGAACTAGGCCTATTGTCTATTCATGAAAAATGACAATTCAAAAATGCTTTAAGTTTACGTGAATAAAAAAAAATTTATTATCGACCAAATGGAAAGTGGTTACATATGAATATGAAAAGCACCATAGACAATATCCTGGGTGCCCATACTTTATAATTTCACTGCTATATTCTATCCATCAGACCTGTATACACTCATACCATTGTAATATAACATTATTATTTATAAATGTAAATGTGATGAATTGTATTAGGACTTCCGATGCAAAACCAACAAAGTGCAAAGGGACTCCCGCGCTGAAGGCGTAATATTAATGGACAATTACACATTTACGTTGGTGGATTATACACAGTAAAATCTATTATGATTTATGTACAGAAAGGTGTTTTTATCTCCCCAGATCTTTAGTGCAATATCAGTATTAATGCATTTTAATAATTAGTTTTGTATATATCCCTATAAATAAAACATAATTCGATATTAGATAATATAACTAATTATATGATAACACAACAGTCCCATTAGACAAATGGCCAACAAATGTAGTAGTAGATGAATGAATGAGTGAATGTACACAGAAAAATAAATAGTGAATGACAAAAAGCGAAATAGAGGCAACAAGGGGCCGAAATGTAGATGCGTTTTAGTTATCACACACATGAAGAAAAACAAGACAACAGGACATTGCTATCACTTTTTGTCTCATGAACATGCTATTAAAATGAATGCATTGACATTGCCACTTGTCTATGGATGGCAAAATTGTTCTATATGGCAGTACAAGTATTTGACTCACCCTAATATGCCGTACAATATCCACCCTATTTGCGAAACTCTTCGAACAAAAGTCACATATCAACTTCACATTGCCATGAACTCTTTTTAAGTGTCGTGCCATATACCTCTTTGTGTGGTACATCTTGTGACATATATGACATTCAAATGTTTTCTCGCCATGAATTAACATGTGCTCTTGTAATTGACCTTTTTTCTGAAAATATCAAAAATATTACATGGTAATAAGACTAAATAATATCTTTATTAAACTTTATTAGAACTAGCCGTATCTGTGTATATAAAGATGTGTAAGAGTATTGTGGAATAATATAGTATTTAAAAACAACAAAACATACATTTTTACCAACGCCACACAAAGAGCACTTGTAATTTTTCTGTTTCTTATGTGGATACTCCTTAGCAGAATGTGTAAACAAGTAATGTTTCCAGTGATCCGCTGACTTCTGTATCTCGTAGCTGCACTGAAAATTTTTATTTTGTTTTTGACTAAAACTAAATTATTGTGTTGATCTAATGTATTAAGATATAGTAATTTTAAGGATAAAAGTTTTTCTTGTAGTGGTTTATGTAATATCAGAATCAATCAAGAATAATAAACTATAACTAAGACCTCCCTTATAGTTACATAGAATAGACAAACTACTTTTTATCCTGGCCAATCAATTTATATTGCTCATAGAAACAAAGTCGTAAATAAGACGAGTATATATTACATTATTTACCATTTCACATTTCATAGGATAAACCCTCAATTTTCTTTTTTTTACTTTTTTCTTACTGCTGGCATCATATATCATATGTGGCTCATAATCAACGTCTTCTGGTTCCTTTTTTATATGCCTATTTCCATCATAGGTTATATCTGGTGGAAAATCATCATCATCTTCCCTCTTTATTGATTTATTTCTCATCATAAACATATCCTCAGCAGAGCTATTAAGATTACTGTTATTTGATATTTCATCAAAGTATTTTGTTCTGTTTTCATTTATTGCCATAAAATCTTCTGTATTTTCAGCAATTGTATTATCACACTCATCATCTGGTGAAAATGGTTCTATTTTAATTTCAACTAGAGATTTTTCTACATTAACTTCTGGTACATTTTTACATTCATTTGTGACATCAACATCAGTGAATACTGGTATGCTGCAGCTCAGACTTGAGTCAAGTCCATGTTCCTCTCTATTTATAGATTGAAGTAATGATAATGTCACCTGAAATGATAATAACTTCAATTTTATTAAGACTTTTATTTTAAATATATAAATCTGATTACAAGCAACAATGACAAATTAACTTGTAGGCTAACTTGGCAAAAGTATCCTTAATAATCACATATGATAGATGCAGAATTCACTTTGTTGATATGAATTGAGGTACAAAATAATAACAATCCAATATATTATTATTATATGAGCCATTAACTGCATACTCATCATAAGCCTTCCCCATAAGGGAAATATATGTATATATTATATAAATAATAATAAATAAATAAAGATACAAAAATCTAAACAACTTACTAACTTTAAATAAGGTTTATAAATATAATACAATCCGTATTTGGTAAATGAAATCATACATGACGAATAGCAAAAATATTAACCTTTTTATGATTTTCAAAAATGTTTCTTAACACATGTTGGGCCTTTAATGCTCTGCTCACAAATTTATAAGTCTTTTTTAGAAGAGCTATGCATTCAAAACATGCATAATGAGGCTGTTCTAAATTCTGAAACTGATTAAGACACATCTATTAAAAAGTACACAAAAACAAATAATGTTACCTTAAAAGCTAATTTTATATATATTTTATGTTATTACAATTATTTATACTACATTTATTATTGAATATAAATCTATTATTATCATTACTTATGTTAATAATGAAGTACCACATTTGTGATTTACTATTCATCCTAAAGTTTAACTGGTAGAAAAAGCTACTAGATTAATTCCACCTTTTATAGCATATTTAAATTTTAACAGTAAACTTAAAGTTATTAATAAATCAACCTTTCATTAAAGAATGATTTTGTAAAAAAAGTCATCTGCAAAGATAGGGTTGTCTCATATATCTCTGCTACCAAGCTGTTAGCATGTCTATGTAGCAGGCATAAAACAGTTATCAAGAATGATAATGAAAGGGGGAAACCATGAACTCATTATATTACTATCTAATAGGTAGATGTCAGCTTGTTTGTTTAGTGTATCATACTTGACATATATGTAAGCTGTGACATACTCATATTGTACAAATTGAATTTAAATCCATATATTATTGTATTTGTTACTTGTATGCGATTATTATTTGACATTGGCATCTATTGACATTGGACTATTGTAATAGAATGAATTGTAACAGTTGACGAATTATTATTACTTAATGTTGACAAACGTTATAGTTTTTTGAGAGAATTTGTTATTTGAAGTTGCATAAAAAAGCCTAGCACAATCAACAGATACTAGCATAAAGAATCATAAACATTATAATTAAGTATCAAATGTCCTCCAATAAAACTAATTGCATGATCCACAAACAAGAATATAATATAAAAGTCCAAAATACAAACAGCATTATGGAGGTACAACCAAGAACATCCAGACATGAGCCTCTTTATTAGACCAGTGTGATAAGAACCCATTACACTATTAAATATCTACATCAATCTATAAAGAGATTTCAAATTAGACCCTGTTATGCCATATCTTAAATAAACTGTTTAATTTTAATAATTAAAGTGATAGTAGCAAGAGTCACTTACTTGAAAAGTTTTTACAAATTATATCAAAAAGGATATTTTGTCTTGAATTATATATTTATATCTATATTAATCTTGGAATATCTAATCTATACTAATATAGGGATAACAAACCATGAATGTTTTGTTTTCTAAATTTTTACACACTTCTAAAATCCTTAGTTCTATTCATATCATACATTATTCAATTACTGTAATCATGAGCTAAACATTTACATAAAAAATACCTGTATTTTAATTTAATTATTAATTTTGTGTCAAATCTGTTACAAGATCTCACTCTACATTACCCAAATATATATTAAAATCTGTTCAGCAATTTTAAAAAAATATTGTGTTTACAAAAAAAAAACACTAAAATAACCATTCATCATATACGTGACTATAAATGCTAAATTTTTGCTACAGACACATGTTACTTACATTGTAACCGTGTTGTGTAAATAAATCTTGAATAAATTTTTTTTCTTCGGTCTCTCCCAAATAATACATTTTCACATCAATTTTAAGGCAAATTCTGCAAGTTCTCATCTTGCAATTTATAATTTTGACTTCTTTTTATTAGATATTTCCACAAGATTATTTATATTTTGCTTTCACTGAACTTTAACAGCAATAAATTTATAGTTAAATAAACACCTTGCATTCCTTGCAATACGAAATATGTCAGATAAGAAATTTTCTTAGAAACAAGAATACCTAATATATTAAATCTTTTATTCTCAGTTAATTATAGTTTTCTTTAATTTCATAATTTTAGAACTTTAAATAAAAATGAAAAATAAATAAGTCAGTAAATAAAACAGAGCACGTAATCACAGAGTAGCGATGCGCGACTTTACTAATTCGATTTTTTATTCACCTGAACCCTTCATTCAGATTATTCGAATGATTCTTAAATCATTTGATACCTAATTTCATTTAGCTACTAATGTCGTCCGACTACTAATATCATTCAACTACCAATTTCATTAATTAGTGGTTCTTGATATACGAGCCTTGTTTTTAGTGTACGAGTCAATACGAACATAGTTGAGTCGACTGGATCGCTGGTGTTCTTTTTATTAATATTTTTTTATTTATATCATCCATATCCATGAATACAAGTCCTTCAGTCGCACACATCTTTTTTTGTTAATGGGCAAAAGTGTTGCTAATTTATAATTTAGTAAAAATTACCAATTTTCGATAACAGAATTTTTAGTTGTAGTTTTAGTATAGTTTTACGACACCTAAAAAAATTTTGTATAGGTAAATTTATTTTTATTACATCTTTTCAAAGTACTCTCCACCAGCCTCTATACAAAGTTTCATGCGTCTGAACCAGTTTTCAAAACACTTTTTCCAGTCCGCCGCAGACACCTCGTTTACAGCTTGCTCGAACGCTGAAAGCGCATCATCCGGCGACGAAAATTGTATCCCTTTGAGCTGATTTTTTATTTTTGGAAATAAGAAGTCACACAGTGCTAGGTCAGGGCTATAAGGAGGATGACCCAGGAGTTTGACCGGTGTACTGTCTAGGAAGTCTCTCGTTTTGATTGCGGTGTGGGCGGGCGCATTATCGTGGTGCAGCAATAGACCGCGGAGCCCTGTGTTTGGTAGCTTGTTGCTCACAACAGAGTAAACTTCTGCCAAGTATTTGGTAGTATACCATTCGGCGTTAATGCTTCTTTGGTTTCGTAAAGGAATTGACACCAAGTAACCAGTCAAATTAAAAAGCTCGCGATCAAAATCTTCCCCCCGCTTCTAGGTCGCTTTACTTTGGTAGGCGTTGATTCGTTTTGAAACACCCAAACCGTCTACTGGCGCTTTGTTTCTGGATCGTATTGATAAATCCAGCATTCAACACCTGTAACGATGTCATAAACACGCCGAAACGAGCCTGCTTCAAATTCATCTATTATATTATTGCATCATTCCACCCTTGCCTACTTCTGAACATCGTTGAGGTTGTGCGGCACCCAGCGTGAAACTATCCTCCGCAACCGTAGATGCACGTGTAGAATCTCGTGAAGGTTTCCTCATTCAATCTGCAGTATATACTGAATCTCTTGGTATATAACTCGTCTATTGTCTAGGGTCAAAATTTTCACTGCTAACACGTTTTCTTCCGTAACAGCTGTCAAAGGGCGACCACTTCTTTCTTCATCCCCCAAAGTTAGTCGAGTGCGCTTAAATTCTTTATAGCAACGATACACAGTTGCCTTAGAAGGACCTTCATCCATGAATCCCATTTGAAGTCTATCGTACGATTCGTCCGGTTTCAGACGACACTTAAAATCGTAAAAAATCATAGCGTGAAAATGTTCTCGACGCAAATCCACTTTTCAATGAGATACGGTAATTTTAATTAGCTCGCAAAAAATGTGGAGGGAAGTTTTGAATTTATAACGTACCTATTTTTACTTATAAGTAATCATATTTTTAAATAAATTATAACTGGCCAGTCTCACATACATAAAAACTTTTTCTCGCAATACTTTCTGAGAGACCTGGTTGGTATTGGAAAGGAATATAGTTGATCGCTGTTTTTTATTACGTATATTGGAAATTAAAGTAGGTAACCGCTGTTTAAATGAATGTAGATGACCGCGCGTGTGGGTTTTTTTAGTTGTCATTCGTTATCACCAACACATTGGTGTAATACTGTGGTAGTAATGGATACGCGAAACGGACTTGATAGTAGTAAATACAGAGCAAGGACTTTGTTTTTGTTATTTTGATTGATTACTAATTAGTAAAATCATTTCATAACGAAAATTAGTATATAACTAATTTAATAATGGGATTAAAAAATTAGTAATTATTAATTATTTGAATAACAACATCATTTGAATTCGCGCACCACTATCACAGAGCAAATAATCTTACAGTTGCAAGAGTTGGCACCGGCCAACGAAATTAGGAGAAAAAAAAATTGTATGTTACCTTTTCATAGTAACAGCACCGCGAAAATTATAATAAAAAAAGAAACAAATTAATATCCATAGTGTTACACCAATATATTTATATCATAAACCTAGTATAATGTACTACATACTGACAGAATCACAAAAACGAGACGAAAATATGATTACATTTATGCACGTGAAATGTAAATGTGAGCATAAACCAGTGCTCCACCGTTCACACTGTATCATTAGAAGGTTAAACGATTCTGTATACGATAGTAAATCGAAACTTGAAACTTTCATATATTTTTATTTAATAATTATTCATTTTAAATGTTAATAAATTAACTTTAGTACACACGTAATAAATTGTACCGTGATTGTTCATATCATATAAAATTATGTTGTAAAAAATTACATATTTAGAAACTAAATAACTTTTTTGACTTTATATAATATATTACATAATACATATAATAGTGTATTTGAATCGACTTTAAAAATAGGAGGAATTTTCAATTCAATTGTATTTTTTATGTTTGTTATTTTATAACTCCATTATTTATAAACCAATTTGGCGACATAATTTTTTAATCTGATATACTCATACAGTTTCATAAAAATTGTATTATAAGCCTTTCAGTAATTTGGTTTTTAAATCAAAATAATTGGTTTTGCCATAATCAATATATGAATATATTGCCATTCTTAAAGTCTGGCGTGTTACACTTTCATATTTTGTGAGTTTTTACCAGAGGGGGAGACTTTGTACAAAAGTTGTCTGCTTGGTAGCTTATGTACAGGTATAACAGTTTAGTCTTCAGGAACGACAACGAATGAAGGGTATTACGAGCGACATAGTTACATACTCTGTTATGTCCATAGTACTGTTAATATCTACAGGCTATGATTACCACATTCTATCAGGGGGGAGGGGTCGTCAGCGTCAGCAGCAGCGAAAGAATATGAGAGCGCGGCATATCTACATGTACACTAATATTATAAAGAGTAAAGATTTGTATTTTTGTGTGTATGTTTAATAAACTCAAAAACTACTTCGCCGATTTTAAAAATTCGTTCATCATTAGAAAGCTACATTCATCCTGAGTAACATAAACTACATTTATTACTAGAAAAAAATTGAGATCCTTACTAAAGTATAATATAAACGTAGATTAATTATAAATAGACTGTATCACCATTGACTGTATCAATATACTGCTAGGATTCAGAATATTATTTTATGTCGTAACTTAGAAGAAGTATTTGATAGAAGGTCGAAGCAAAAATAAGATTAAAATATTGTATTACATATTATTAACCATGATATAATTTTATTTTTTATATCTGTGGTCATTCGAAATTTCTTTTTTTATTTTTGTAGTAACATAGTTTCTTAGAAAAATGTCATTGCAACAACAATGTTCCAACTGCCGAGGGCCTGATCTTATCTACCATGCTATACATAATATTTAAATAACAATAATAACCAAAACTTTTTTTTATTGTTAATTGAGTTACTTCGACTTTAATTATATAAATTTTATTTGATATTGATAAGTTTCTTAATTACGATATTTTACAGTTTCTTTACAGTTTAAATTTTTTTTAAATATCCTAAACGTAGTTTTTGTATACAATATACGGTATTTGCGGTTGTAGTTATACTTTTTTAGGTTCCACTTTTTATGATTAGTGATTAGCAATCTATAAATCCACAATAAATGTTTTTCTTGTCTCGATTGTATATCGAGAATGTTGGAATAGTACAAGATGAGAATATGCAGACTTTGTCTCAAGCTTAATATAAAACCCTATTGCTTGAGGAATACCGAAGAGCGACAATTTCTTCAGGATATATTTAGGCGAAATGGATTTGTTGTGGCAAGTATAATATACGTCTTAATTTTTACTTAATGGTTCACTAATGGCAGCAGCGTCTTTCTTAAAAGAACACTTTAGGAGCAAATGTTAAAGTTAAGGTATATAGATTGGGCCACAATTGAAAAGCCTAAAATTAAAAAAACAATTGGGGCTTAAAAAATTTTGTTGACTTTTCTGATGTCCATAACAGTAAGATGTAGGTGCAAAGTTTTTGCATGTAAATCTTACTGTTATAATGACAAATAAAATGAAAAATGACTATGCAATATATTCTATAATTAACATTTAAGTTTCCTAGCAGAGCACTTGTTAAATAGATCTCAAGAAAGAATTATTCAAGAATATTAAATTGCGTTTAAAAATTTACAGGTAATTGCAATGTTGCCATATTTTATTATGAACAGTTAACAATATTGCATGTTCTAGTATGCTTTCAGTTAACACCAATATTTTTGTTTTTGTTTTTTTTTTAATTGATGGTAATAGAATGGTAACCCTGCTTGCGCTAACGGTGTACACTGGCCTGGCATTAGTGAGAGATAATAAGTGAAATTGAAAAGGCAGATCAGTTAGCCCTTCATGATGAATACATCTGGAATTTAGCACGATGGTTTTTCAGGGGGAACTGCATGAAGGTAAACCTTATAGGGTATATTGCTAGCAATGGGACTGATAGTCCACATTACTAACAATCCCTTTCCCTAATATTTTTGTTAAACCAAAGTTAATAACATATTAACCAAACTTTCATTAAACTAATTTGGTATAAAAGATACCTTGGATTATAATTTTTGTTATTTAATAATTCTACTTGATTTGAATTTTATTTTTTACAGAATTTGAACCCAAATCATTATGCTTGTTTTGAATGCATAGCTCTTCTAAAGAAAAGCTATGATTTTATAAAAATAATACTAAAGGCACAAGATATATTGAAGAACATTTGTGGACAGCATAAAAAGGTATTATAAATATTGTGCATAATTACAGTTATCAATATGTTCCTCTTTCTTTAACAAATAATATTGTTTGTCTTGTAGTACATGCAATGTGCAGTCATAAGCATATTTAGACATAACGGGGTGGGCCATGCTCACCTCAGAGTAAAGACTGGTGCTTTCAGCTATAGACAGTGTCTATGTCTGAAAATACATATTGCAACTTTTTTAAGGAGCCAGGTGCACCCTACAAAAGAATCTTAAATATGCTTGCGGTTTTGCCTGAACGAATCAGTAAAAAAATCAATCTTATGTGTTAGATGATCATAAGTTCTTTGTGTGTTTTCAACTGCATTCAAATCTGTTCAGCTATTAAGTACAAAACATTCAATAATAAAAAAATATCTTTATAAATTGTTACATCAACTTAAGTGCAAAGACACTACACCTCTCTCCCTTGAAATTCACAAGTTCAATGGGTCTGACGGTATTCCTCCTACTGTGTTTAGGACATGTGTACCAGAGATGGCACCAGTTTCAATGTGCTACTTGTCTAGTGTAGTCCCGAAGTTTTGAAAGACAGCTTTATTGCACTCGATTCTTAAAAAGGAAGATTGTTCAGATCTAGCAAATTATAGGCCAGTAGCCATCATCTTCTTTTTCTCTAATTACATTATATTCGATCTATTATAAACTGTCAATTGCTTTGGTACCTAAAAGAATATAATTTGATTAATAATCGCCAGTATAGTTTTCGATGTGGACGGTCAGGTGGTGGTCTTCTAGTCTATTTGTCTCATCAATGGGCAGAAGCATTCGAGAGTAAGGAAGAAACCCTAGCGATTAGCCTGGATATTACGAAGACCTTCGATCGGGTTGGCACAAAGCATTACTTTCAAAACTTCTATCCTTCGGTTGCCTGCAAGACTATACAAGTGGGTCGCCAGTTTTCTCACGAAGTGGGTTATGAGCATGCTCAGACTACACCCATGAATGCCGGTGTCCCGTAAAGTTGTGTGCTATTTCCGACCCTCTTTATTTTGTATAATATCAATGACATGTTTCAGATTAATATTATTCATTGCTATGCATGCATTCATTGACAGCACAGGAGATGCCTGGTCAAACGAAAGTCACGCGAGTAAATATTAACGAGTGCTTGTGTCTGAAATCGAAACTTCGATAGGGTTTCGATCTGGAACAAAGATAACTTTGTCATAACAATCATCAGAGGGCTCTGATGATTGTTATGACGACAGTGGAAAAAAAATTAGGAAAAAAACTAATAATGAAATAAGAGGGTATCCATTTAAATGTGAAAAGGTAAAACGCTACACTTTTCAGTATCTCATATGAACTTTATTTGTGGTGAAACCACATATATAATACACATAATAACACATTAATTATATTTTAGAAGCTTGTACATTATATTTATTAAACACATGTCACATAATTGTAAGTTAATTATGTGATAATCGTTAGGCACATGTTAATATTATTTACACTATTTTCATAGTATATTTTTTATTTAGTATTTAAAGCTAGTAATAATCTAAATATATTCTTTTTTCAGTGCGACTATGAGGTTACGTCGGCAATAAACCATTGGCATCACTACTTGATAGCACATTCTTATAAAGAATATCCATATCATCAGGAGAAGGAATTTATTTGTCATATCTGTAGCATTACTAAAACTGTATGTTACATTAGTACTTCTTTTGTTTATTTTTTCAAAATTTTATGTTTTCAGCAACTACATACTTCGCCATCTTTATTTATATGTAATTTTTCGAAGGTGAAGATGAAATGGTAACCCTGCCTACGCTATCGGTACACGCTGACGAGGTACCTGTAAGTGATGATACGTGAAGATGAATCTAGGTCAGTTAGCCCATCGCAACAAGTTCCACAAGAATTAACAACGATGGTTTCCAGGAGGAACCGCGTGGAGGTAGACCTCTTAGATATATTTCTAGCAAAGGAACTGTCCTTTCCCCCTTACGCCTAATTTAGGTAATGGCTTCATATGTTGTAATATTTAAGGATTTATGCCTCTATATATATATAATAATAATCATTTAGTTTGCTTTACGACAGAAATGCGAGTAGAATAGGGGCCAGTGTTTTGTTTTATACAACTTAGAATGGCAAACAAGCTGACGGCCCACCTGATGGAAAGTGGTAACCGTCGCCTATAGACATGAGCAGTACCATGGACATAACAGAGTATACTGTTTCGTCCATGATACCTCCCATACGTTGCCATTCCTGAGGACTCAGGTGTTATTCCTCTGTACCCAGTAAATTCACGCCATATCTCACCCTTCAAACCGAAACACAGTCATGCAAACACAACTGCTTCACGGTAGAAACACGAATGGGACAGAGGTACCCAAGCAATCGACTTTTGTACAAAGTCTCCCTCTGGTACTAAGTAAGCAGACAACTGGTCATATGGGGAAAAGGGATTGTTAGTATTGAATATTTAAAAGCCCCATTGTTAGTAACGGAATTACCATTGCTAACAATATACCCTGTCAGGTCAACCTCCACGTGGTCTCCCCTGAAACCATCGTGCTGAATCCCAGGTATATTCATCGCGATGGGCTAACTGACCTGCCTTTTCATTCTCCCCTGTGTCACTGAGGTCCCGCCAGTGTATACCGTTAGCGCGGGCGGGGTTACCACTCCATTGTCATTCATTAAAAAAAAGTCGACCTCCACGCGGCTCTCCTTGGAAACTATCATAGTTCTTGTTGAATTCATGACTATCATATGGCCTGCCTGTTAAATTCTCATTTGTGTCCCACCAACGTAACCGACATCACCGACGAGGATACCATTCCATTTCGTCCATTAAAAAGAAAACTATGTCCGTGTCTCTCCCTTCCCTTTACCCCTTCCATTCGTAATTTTTTTAGCAATACTATATCTATCCAATCTAATATATAAAATTCTCGTGTCGCGGTGTTTGTTACCAAACTCCTCCGAAATAGCTTTACCGATATTTATGGAATTTTGTGTGCAATTCGGGTTGGTTTGAGAATCGGCCAACATCTATTTTTCATACCCCTCAATGATAAGGGTGACCCACTCCTAAATATTTGTTTTAATTTTTTTGACAATTTTTTTTTTACTTTTATTTTCAATGTTAAAAAATATACAACTTCATATTTTCATCCTTTTACGATCAACTCCTGTTTTTTAATCGCGATTTTTATATTCCTCAATAGGGTTGCAAGATGGCAATCGAATATAATAATTGTAGTACGACAAATTTTCATGTGTAGTTTTAGAAATAATGTATATGGTAAAACAACGTTTGCCGGGTTAGCTAGTCTATTTATAAATACTGCAGATCCCTCACGGTGTACGCAGTGAGAGCCGAAGGTTAATTTTTTTTTTCTTTTTAGAATATAACTTACCTCAAAAGCCACATTGAAACTCACGGCAAAAGAAATTATGAGTGTGATATTTGTCATAGGAAGTTTTATACAAAGTCTCGAATACAGCATCATTTGGTCTTGGTGCATGGCACTGAAAAGTTAATATGTGACTATTGTTCGAAGAGATTTTCTTCAAGAATAGATATTATACGACATATAAGGGTAAGTATACATGTGTGTATATTTATTTACTGGGTACGGAGGAATAACACCTGAGTCCTCAGGAATGACAACGCAATTCCCACCCTTCAAACCGAAACACAGCCATGCAAACACAACTGCTTCACGGTTGAAACACGAATGGGACAGAGGTACCCAAGCAATCGACTTTTGTACAAACTCTCCCTCTGGTAAAACTTACCACGATACATCATTCCAGGTTCACACTGGAGAAAAGCCGTTCAAATGCCACATTTTTAGCGCTGGTTTCGCTCACAAAGGCAACATCGGTATTCACATTAGGACCAAACATCAAAACTATCCAATTGAGAATAAAAAGAAAACAAAAAATAAGACTATTCAGCGACGCAATGGTGAAAAACGAAGAGGCAGGAGGAAAAAGTAGAAACATAATTCATCAGATAAAGTTGTTAAAGGCTGAAGTTATTAAATTAGATATATGGTTGCCGACTTTTTTTGTAATATTTATAATCTAAAATTAATAAATATTTTTGCTATAAGTTTTATTCTTTTATTTCAAACTGTTCAGGCAGCGCACGTCTTGTTATAAAATTTTTGTCGACTTCGAATACATTTATGGTGATTAATTATTGAAAATGTGTTATACCAAAATCAAAATAAAATGTAGTCTAACAGTGAAAGAATTTGCAAAAACGGATCAGTAGTACCGGAGATTATCCCTAACATCCAAACTCACAAACTTTATCTCCTTATAATATTCATCATGTCAGCATTTCTGTCCACTGCTGCAGTCAGGCTTTAGAGATGTTTTAAGAGGGACGCTGTTGCCCATCGCTCGTCTACCTTTAGTTGGCTTTTACGATACGCAGAAAGGGCTGGCCTAATCACACACATCATAACACACGGTCTTATTGTAAATAAAATTATAAAATATTTTCTTGGTACGGTTTAGCTGTCGAAGCTTGCATGGAAAATGATACATGGCGAGGGATGGGCAGCAGCGTTTTTCTTAAAACATCTCTAAAGCCTGACTGCGGTTGCCAATCCGCCTGCCAAGCGTGGAAAATAGTGGCAAATTCTTTTTTTTTTTTATACAACTTAGAATGGCAAACAAGCTGACGGCCCACCTGATGGAAAGTGGTAAGAAATTATTATGAAGGGTGCTCAAACTATTTGATGAAAAGTTTACAAGGGTAAGAGTAGAGGTATGTACGCGGTGAATCCCATATAATTACTTCCATAAGATGGTACCTATTTCAGACCATTTTTATTAATAGATGAGAATGAAATAGTAATCCCACTTGCACTATCGGTATAAGCTGGCCGAGCACCAATGAGTGATGATAGGTGAGGACAAAAACAGATCAGTTAGTCTATCATTAAGAATTAATCACGGTAATTTCCAGGAGATACCGCGTGGAGGCCGACCTGAGTGTAGTATTGCCAGGAATGGTGCTGTTAACCCCATTTATACTCACAATCGCTTAGAGTCATACTCATTAATTAACACTTGCAAGACTGTAATTAACAATTCTAAGTTGTATAAAAAAAAAAACACGATTTCGACTGTGTGGTGGGATATATTCACTGACCAGGATAAAAAGTAGCCTACGTCCTTCTTCATTACATATAATACTGTTACATTTATATAAAATTTTATAGTGATAGATTAAGCAGTTAAGACATTAAGAGGTAATAAACAAAATTGGTTTCAAATATCTACTTAGGTCGACTGAGTGTTTCATATACCCTACATACTTAATTGTCGTTAGTTTATAATTTCTCGAATTCAGTTGAAAAGAATAAAGAATTTGTATCTTTTCATGTAGGTAATACCTATAGATATAAAGAGAAAATAGATTTAACATCTCTTTTTGTTACTGTTAGGTTTACTGTATATATTTGGAAAAAACAAATGAAACAATTTGTAACGTGCATACTACGAATTTTAGAGATGTTCAATCAAAAACGTAAATATTTTAAATAAGAAAGGGAAATCTTCCTTACTCTAGTCTAGAAATTTATTTTTATACAACTTAGAATGGCAAATAAGCTGACGGCCCACTTGATGGAAAGTGGTAACCGTCGCCTATAGACCTGAGTAGTAGAGTATACTGAGTATACTGTTTCGCCCATTATACTCCCCATGCGTTGCCATTCCTGAAGACTCAGGTGTTATTCCTCTGTACCCAGTAAATTCACGCTATATCCCACCCTTCAAACCGAAACACAGCCATGCAAACACATGCTTCACGGTTGAAACACGAATGGAACAGAGATACCCAAGCAATCGACTTTTGTACAAAGTCTCCCTCTGGAGAAATCACCCCAAGGAGGAGGCTTACATTCAACAGTGGGCATTTAAAGTCTAATATAATGATGTTGATGATACATGTTGAGTTATTCTACACAGACTTTGTTAATGATGTGCGTTATACATTTATTTAAAATGATTTTGAATAATTAATTGCACCAAATTTTTGAAGCGATAACTAACTAGGATTTTAGAAAATAAATGATTTTGAAGTACGTTAAAATTTAAAATTAAAGGACAGCATAATTTTTTTCTGTGACATAATTGGCGTTTTCACGATGACGTGCTGACGTGCTCTATGACTCGTTGATAATGTGGATGGTCGTTGGTGAATAGCCACCTGTCTAATGACTGTCCCGGAGAAAGTGCAATAAAATATTTTGTAGCATATTGCTAATGCTTTAACAGACAATATTGCATAAGATAGTTTTTTTTTTAATGTTAAATGATTAAATTAATATTTATAATAATTATTTATTAATTCTAAGGCCCGCCTGATGGAAAGTAGTAAATCACCTATGAACAGCACCACGCACGTCACAGTTTACACGTGTCTAAGATGGCGCATGAAGCGTTATCTCTGTAAATTAATCTGTACACTCTTCAACGTAAACGACTTTACAAGCACAGCTGTTTTACAACTAAAAGAAATGGGAAAGAGATACCCGATTAGGCAAAATGATCTGGTAAAATAGTTATTCATAAGTAAATTATATCTACTATTGATTTGGTCTTTAACCAATGCGTGTTTCCAGTGATAACTTATTGAACTGAAACGGGTCTTACATGATTGTCCGTATGCAAAAATTTCAAATCATTCAACGGGCTATGGAAAGGGCTATTTTTGGAGTTTCTTTGAGGCTGCTGCCTACCCCTCGACGATTAGGTTTCCTTAATCGCCTCTTACGATACCCACAGGAAAGACAGGGAAGGCCCATTCCATTCCGGAATCACACAGTAAGGTAATAGATAAGGTATAGTAATAGATATATTCGCATGGTAAAAGTGGATGAGACGCACCCTACAGTGCCGATTTCCATTCCTGAATTTAATAGGTGAATAAAGCTGACATAAATAGTTATATTACAGTATAAAAATACACGTTCTTTCGAGTTTGGGCGTAGTTTCGAAAGGGATTTTAATAACGGGATCAAATGGCCCCATTGCTAAGCTTGATATAATATATACCAATTTGTAGAAAAGACTACGCTTGCAATTTTAATATGTGATAGAATTCTTAATGAAAAGAGAAGAATTAAAGAAACCGTTGTACAGCAAAGTATTTTTTTTTTAAAGATAATAATAGATTACCCGCCTGCATTAACGGTATATACTAGCGGGGCACCAGTGAGGGAGGACAGGGTTTTTTTTATGCAACTTAGAATGGCAAATAAGCTATAGACATGAGCCTATAAGATTATAGACATAACAGAGTATACTGTTTCGCCCACGATACTCTCCATGGGTTGCCATTTCTGAGGACTAGGGTGTTATCCTCTGTACCCTGTAAATTCACTGCCACATCCCACCCTTCAAACCGATACACAGCCATGCAAAAAACAGCTGCTTCACGGCAGAAACACGAATAAATAAATGAAAAGGCAAGTTAGTTATAATGTTGCGATAAACACATTTAGAATTCAGCATGATGGTTGCCAGGGGTCTATGGAGAAGTCAACTTGATAGGGTATATTATTAGCAATGGTAGTACAATAAAGTATTTTTTTTTATTTATTATTTTTATAATTATTTTTTATCATCCATAATAATGGGATGGTAACCCCGCCTGCGCTAACGGTATATGCTGGCAGTTCACCAGGGATGTTAGGTGAGAATGAACAAGTGGGTCAGTTAGCCGTCGTGGCATTCAGCACGATGGTTTCCAGGGGGCACGGGACTAAAAATACTAACAATCCTTTCCCCCCCAAATAGCAAAATGTTGCCATGCTGAAGTGACAATGGGTTTTTTTAATAGACGATAATGGAATAGTAACCCCGCCAGCGCTATCAGTATACGCTAGCGAGGCACAATGTAGGTTATCAGGTCGAACTTCACACCTTCCTCTCTAGAAATTGTCGTGGTTTATTCCTGGAGAAGTCATCTGTGTACTAATAACGCGGTCGGGCTTACCATTCATTTTCAAAAATTCCATATAATCCCTGATGGGTAATTTACATTGTATTATTTCTTTATTTCAAATTCTCGTCATTTCAGTAAATAATCAGAAATACATCAGAAAATTGTGGATAAGCATATTGTTTCTTTTGCGCATACCATTCTATTGTTCAATTTGACGGGTAAAAACGTATGTGTGGACTGAAAGACGATGTAGTGACAAAAATCGAAAAAGGAATGTTTCGTTGGTTTGGTCATTTGGAGAGGATGGATGAAAGAAGAATTACGAAAGAGATTTATCGAGTAAGAATGAATGGAGATGTCGGTAGGGGCCGCCCTAGACGGACGTATGTTGACCAAATAGGCGACGTGCTGAAGAAGGGCCAAATTAAAAGTACCCGTAACCGGCGAGCGTGTATGAAAAGATTGATGAATGTGGAAGAAGCGAAAGAGGTTTGTTTGAATCGAAGCATTTGGCGTTCCATTGTTTCTGCCTACCCTAATGGGAGACAGGTGTGACAGATATGTATGTATGTATGTAAAATGTATGACGTGGGTTAGCCACAACTTATATATGTAAGTACTGAATACTGTTATCTTATATCTTGCCTAATAAAGCCCTAAGGGTAGGTAGATATATCTATGGTATGCACCTTTTTGTGGAGCCCTACGTTCGAGTAATTTGTCATGCTTATATGAGTAGTAACATCGTGACTATTTCGCAACTTTGTAAACACTAATTGTATGTTATAGTGCTGCTTGGAATAAAATTAACATAGAAATTATCCTCTACAAGTATATTGACTAAATTAACATTAATTATGGCGTATGAAATACTTACATCGCCATTGTTTTTGCACGTTTTGAAACGTACTCATTGTAACCGTATTTTGAATTGTCTATCTCTTTAGAAATATTCAATAACGAAACATTTTCTAAAAAAAAAAAACTGTTGCAAAACGATTTTAATATTTCGAGGTTCCCAAGGTGTGTCCTAGACTAATACAAACATTTCTAGGTAAATTTCTTGGCAGTGTTATCCAGACTATATATTACTGACCTTGAAACGTGAAATAATGTAAGTTGGTTATTTGTTATATTACGAACTC